AGGTTGTGATTCAGATATTATTGCGGTTGCCAACAGACTCACTAGTGCGATTCAAAAGCAAGCATAAAGTTTTTACAATTAAAATGTCATATTATTTTTTTGGGTGAGCTGTTACAAGATCTTAATAATTAAAATGTTAGGACCTTTTAAGATTATTTATCAAAATATTTAAGTAGTTTTAATGAATTAACATTCAACAAATTTGTTCATAACAAATTAACACTTTTAATGAGCCAATGTGCGAAAAAGCGCAATGGGAAAGTAACCCAAAAGCAACCATAATTGAATTTGGATTTTAAAAAGTCTATTAGGTATTTATTTTGTATTTATTGAAAATTTAAAAAATTCATTGAGTATTTATTTAGTATTTATTAAAGATTTACAAAATCCATTAACGTATTTATTTCAATTTTATTGGAGATTTTAATAATTTTTATAATATAATAATAAGATATGAAACATGGTAATTTTATAGGTTAAATATCAATTTTGATCTCTCAACTTTAGGGTCTCTTTAATTAAAGAGCCACTTTACGGGAAAAATTATTAATGAAAAAATGAATAGAAAAGTATTGAGAGAAAAGTAAGTTATTAAGTTTTATAATGAATTTTTGTTGGAATTTTGTTGGGTTATTATATTTGTTATATTTTATAAGAAATTGATAAAAGGAAAGTTAGTACGAAAAGTTGTTAAAGAAAATTATAAAGAAACCTTTTTTTTTTTCAAAATAGATGGGAAAAAAAAAAACTTTACATGTTAAGAGTTATATCAGGGAAAATAAATGCTCAAAATGCCACTTTCACCCTCATTTGGTTTTAGTATTAATACATAAAAATACATAAATAATTTTATAAGAGAAATTTTAAAAAATTTTAAAGGAAAAGTTTCCTCTTGACCAAATACGCTCTTAGGGTTTTGCATAACTTTTTTCTATCAACTATTTTGTGGTCTCTTAACTCTAAAAATGCAGTTTTTTTGTTCTTTTGTCAATTAGTTTATTAAGCCTATTCTAATATACATATTTTTAGCCCCTTAACTTATAATATATGAACATTTTCAGTTCTTATTTTCATAAGTTCAAGAACTAAAGATGTATATATATAGACAGAGTTAACAAATTAATTGATAAAAAAAAGTTAATTTTTTAAAAGTGACGGATTAAAAAAGTGGTTAAAATATTTGAAGCATGAAAATTGTATAAAACACTAAAATTAAAGAATTAAAATTAACATTTAACAATATAACTAGGGTGTTTATATCTGATCCAATATGATTGATCTGACCTAAACTGATCCGATCCAATTAAAAACCGATCTAAACCGATATAAAATTGGATTGATTTGAATTCTAAAATTTTAAAACCGATATAATTGATTTGATTCGTGGTTTTACCTTCAAACCGCTCAAACTGCCCAATTATAAAATAAAATCCGATTAAAAAATAATTTAATTAAATAATATAACATATTTTTTGTAGTATTTTAAATTTTCTTTTTCTTATTTTACAATATTATAACTCTATTAACTTAATTAAAAAAATAAAAATAGAAAATTTTCATATTCCTTAAGTTATTTCTCTATTTTAATCATGCACTCTAACCTTAATTCTAAATTTTTAATTTACTTACAGCTCTATCTTTTCAAAATTGGTTTGCGCTTTTACTCTTAAAACTTTAAATTTCTAATTTATTCTTAAAATAATTTTATGATTTTTCTAACTAAATTTTAAATAAGTATCATTCTAAAAGCCTTAAAACTATATAATAAAATTAGTCTTAATATTCAACTATTCTTAGATATTTGGTTTAGAACTTTTAAATTTTGATTTTGAATGCTTCTAATCAATTTTAATAATATTCATGTTAAATGTTGTTCACTTTTAACAGGATTTAAAAAATGACATTGAATTATTAGTGTATTAAGAAAAAAAAATTAATTTTAACCTTCAAGAATTATTTATGCTGTGCTAGAAATTTGAAGTTATTTTTTATTATCTCTAGTGATGTAATCAAGAAGAATTTTCAGAGCTTTTCAATTTTTACAAATGTAAAGGAGTATAAGAATTCGTTTATAATTTGTTTATAATTTTTACCTTTTATTATGTTTTTACTGATTTGGATGTTAATGTATTTTATAGTTATACTTCTATTTGATATTAAAATATTTTTACATTATCTTATATATTTAATAATGTTAAAAATCGATCAATCTGACCAAACCACACCAATCTGATTTAAATTGAATTGATTTGGTTATCATATAATAATGAATTGAATTGATTTAAAAATTTTATTAACCGATTAAATTGGATTAGTTTAAAAAATAATAAAATCCGAATCAAACTACACTACGAACACCCCTAAATATAATGATGAATCTAATGTACCAAATTAGGACAGACTACCAAAAAAATATATTAGGATTCCATCTATTCGTTTTTGATTCTTTAAATTAGGTCCATTGTGTAAACTCAAGAATCTTGTTCACTTTCTACAGTACAGAAGGCCAAGAGAACTGATCCATATTGAGCCACTTCTCTGAGAATGATAACGGATGCTTTCTGATCTTGCAGTGCCATGGATGTTGTCAACAGCCACCATCAATCTTTCATTCAACTTTAAGTTGGTTAGT